TCGGTAAAAAGGAAACATTTGTTGGAAAAAAAATAATAAAAAAAGGGGCAAAATTCGTTTAAAATATGTGTGAACATAAGTGGTACATTTGCTCCTTAGTGTAACAGATCCGAGGCTGTTAAATTAAAAAACGTGTTCTGTAGAACTCTGTTAATAACAGAGTCATAACATTTATCTGCGACAGCCTCACTGTTCACTATTTATTTATGGGAACATCTCTCTGTTGTACCAGATGCATTTTCAGGTTTACCCTGAAAATACATTAGAAGTGCTTTCTCAATGATCATCCAGGCACTCATAATACACATGGGAGTGAGCAACCTCCATGCATGATCTCTTCCATATTGTTGTTCACCTCGTCTTGCATTGTCCATTCCATTCTCTTTTTCAGCTTCATGTTTATTCCCAGCGCGCATGTCCACTGAGTACATGCTCTTATTTATGGATGTTGAGATCCAAGCTTGCCATGTTCTCTTAAGTTATTTTCAGCTTACCTTTCTTCGTCTTCATTGGTCCGAATGAGCATATGCTACTCTTGTGTATGTATGTGGTGATCAGAGCTTGCACACTTCTCTTAAGTCAGTTCCAGCATCATTCTCTTCTTTCTATTATTCGAATGCGCATGTCACTGAGAATGCGCTTCTCTCGTGCATGCTGAAACTAAAGCTCAATCATCGTTCTCTTCCCTCAGCCACATACATCCTATTGCAACCAATGTTACATTCTCTGCTTTGAGTGCGCATGTCCAATGAGAATGCGCTAGTCAATTGGTGGGTGAGATTACAACTCAATCGTGTTGTTGTATCATTGCCGTGTAACTACTATTGCAGAGTTTGAGTTCTCCGCTCAATCAGTTGTTACATTTGTGTTCTTTTCTCTATTTATTTTTACGTGTCATTCTCGCTGTTTGAGAGTCCGACACATACAACGGAGGATTGATTGCTCAGAGCGGAGCATATCATTCCAAATTATTCCATTTATTCCAATTCTTCCAAATTCTTTCCACTTACATTGAGTTCAATGAACTCTTGAACGATCAGCTGTTTTCTACTTTAGCAAAGTCGTGTTTTTGCTTGTGATGTCTCTGAAGCAAATTATTTAAATAGATTGTAGGTTAGGAAGTAAGGTGAACCATATTGTAGGAAAGTACAGGGACCTCCAAAATGCTTCCCTGTCCTTAACTCTCTTCTCAGGCGTGTCGATTGACCTAAATTGTGTGATCAAGAAATTGTTTCTGTTTTTGGTTCATTTGAACCCCTAAATATTTTGCGATCATCTCCAAGAGCACGAGGCCCCTCTGTATCTCCAAATTTAGACTCATCTATATGATTTGCTTGTCTAAAACCAGAATAAAAACCAGAAGTTCGACTTTTGTGTATTTTGGATATCGCCTTAAGTAATGTTGGTATTTTTTCACACAAAAGTAGTATCCATTCTACCCGCTGTCCTAAACTCTAGCTTTATGCGAGCTTTCATGTATTTTAGTTTCTATTTCTGACCTTTATAACGGCTGCAAAACCAGGAACATTTTTAGTTGTTGGTCCATTTCAACTATATTGCGGACATCTTTGAAATCAATAGCCCTTCTCAGCCTAACCCTACCATTGTGAAAATTTTCGTGATGATCGGACGATAATTGCAATCTGTAAATAATAACCTCAACCTGTGTTGTAAGGTAAAAAATTATTACAAAATATACACTTGAATATTAAAAGTCAATTTTAATAAATCGCATGCGTCAATTTTAATAAAAAGCTGTAAGTTTGGCCGGAACGAACTTTGAATACCCTCCTCCATTTGGAACGAATTTGGCAATTAAAAACAGTAAAATCCGTTAAAACTTCTGTTAAAATCTTAAAAATACCGAATGTAGCTATTATATTAGGATCTATACGATGACATGAACCTGCGTAGGTAACATTTGTCATAAGCCATTACAATATTCAAATGCGAAACTGAAAAAAATCGGTTATAATGCGATAGAATCAAAATACGGAATATCGGGAAGTACCTTTATATGGGGGCTATACGAAGACGTGGACCTGCACAGACAATTTTCTGTCGTAGGCTGTAGTATCCATTACGAACTTTAAATACCAAATTTGAAACTATTCCGGTGAAAAATGTCGCTAAAATCATCAAAATACCGAATATCGGGAGGAACAGTTATATGGGGGCTATACCAAAACGTCGTTCTACTTGGCCCATTTTCAATACCAAAAGTCCTGCAGACATAACATACATTTGAGCAAAATTGTATCAATCTACTTCAATTCGTTCGGACATCGCTAAATCGACATAGAATTTTATGCTGATCAAGAATATATATATTTGAGGGGTCTAAAATGAGTACTTTGAGTTGTTACAAACTGAATGGCAAACTTAATATCCGCTTCATACTATGCTGGAGGGTCCCGTCAAAATCGGTCCCACCATTTTTGAGATATAAGCATAGAAGCTAACATCCCCTTTCTTCGTATATACACATTGTATATATTCCGATATATATAGATATATATAAGCCAACTGTCGAACTGTGGATAGATTTCGTACCACATACTCTCTACAGGATGCAATAACACCAGCACGTAGAAGGAATGTGCGTACTGAAGACCATATCGCAGCTGTAAACGAGAGTTATAGATAGATCTTTCGAATAAAAAAAGTTTATTTACAATTTAATTTTTTGTGTTATATTTTACAATTTCAAGTTCTATCGGGCTTAAAAAAACCGGTGCTATCAGCATCTACGTAACGGTCAGAATTGACCTGTTCGTCTATTTGTTATTTCGCCGGGATTAAAAAAGCTTTTATGTTGGCTCTAGCTCCACCTCCATTCTAAACTTCGTGAAGATCGGGCGAAAATTGCGACCTGTAGAGTGATTACAAATTAATAGGAACAGACGGATAGGCAGAAATACATAGCTAGATCGTGATAGGAAGATCCATATATACTTTCCTATGTGGGAAACCAATATTTCGTGGTGTTACATATTTTAGCCCAATCAAACTTATAATACCCCCAACACATAGTTGGGTATGAAAAGAAGCGCAATCGGATTTGATCCAACTTGGCAATTTTTTGCATCACTGCTAGGTCAGGTGCGAAAATGGACAATATAGGTCCTCTCCATCAAGTACCTCCCTAACAAAGGGTCAAACTTTTGAATAATTTTAACTCTTATAAAATTTTTATGTAAGAGTTCGATTGTTTCAAAATTTACACATCACAATATTTCAATTAACCCAAGATTTTATGTGAAGATGGAATATATCGGACCACTCCTTTTGGCACCTCCCCCACAAAGCGTCAAAATTTTGAATATCCATGAAGCTCATAAAACACGAAATTAACATCCGATTGCATTCACACTTGGTACGTCTCAATATTCATAATTACAAGGTCTGTTATAAAGATGGTAAAGATCGGGCGCTTTCCTTCTGGTACCATCAAAGTTTTGAATAACCCAAACGATCACAAAATCCGAAATGAGCATTTGGTTCATATTTCACACATCCAATTATTACTGCTAACACAAGATCTGCTGGGAAGATGGGATATAACGGTCCACAACATCTGGTACCTTCTCCGCAAAGGGTCAATTCTCTTAAAATTTCACACATACAAACATTTTTGGTAACACAAGATCTGCCGTGAAAATGATATATACCTGCGAACTCCTTCTGGTACCTCAGCCACAATTGGTCGCAGTTTTCTATACTTTTGTCTGTCATAACTTGCGAAACAAGTCATCGATTCTTTACAACTTGTTATTTCTACATATTACTCTCAACCAGAAGCCTGAGATGAATATCGAATTTATAATTTCGCATAAAATTCGATATTAATGTTCGATTTTCTTGTAATTGTATCCAATATTTTTATTTGTATTAGAAGAAGTACGAAAATGGAATACTTTGGTTGACTATATGTCCTACCTCACGCACATTTTAACTTTTTTTACAAGTTATAACATATTTCATATTAAGTGAAGGAAGTAACCAATATAGTCTAAACCTGGCACGTCGCAATATTTGTATCATATTTATTAAGGTCCGATACGAAATGGACAATATTGGCCCATTCCTTTGGAGCCAACTCCATAGAGGGTCAACAATTTGAATAATCATAACAGAAGTCCAAATTTCGGCAAAACCGACTAATACATTTTAACTTGTTTTTCGAGTAGTTAAACAATCTTGTTATGGCGGAGGGTGTAAAAGTAGGTTAAAAATTCTATATTTAAATGCGATTGTAGTTAGGAAGTAAAAGTGGTCATATTGTAGAAAAATGCAATGCTTCGATACTCTGCAAATATGTCACTATTAGTGTTACCTTGTTTTACGATTTGATTTATATTTTAAAAAATATGTGTTGACATTTCCTGATAATTAATATGATTTATATATTTCTAAATAAATAAATTATATAAATGAAGCCAATATACCACAAAATTCGATGTTTAAAAAGCAAAAGTGGTTCTTACTATAAAAATGTATGACCCATATGCAATGGAAGATTGTCTACATTTGGTACATTTTTGAATTCACACTTAAAATTCTTTTGCGAGAGAATATGAAATGCTTAGCGTTTTCAAAAATCTATTGGTTCTGCTGGATAATTGTTTATGCTTTTAACATTTCTTGGCACATATGATTAATAATTTCTTTTTTTTTCTTTAAGAGGGGAAACATACCCCCCCCCCCCCATCTCTTTCGAAGTGTTATTATTACTATTTTTGGTGGTGGTAATTTCGATTTGGGTGTCAAGAAGAGGAATCCCAAAGAACATTGATGCGAATAACAATAGAAACGTTACAAACAAAACAGAAAAAGCTGCTGCTGCTGCTGCAAAACTGTGAACGAAACAAAAAATTATGGCAAAAAAATATTTTTAAGACATAACTCATTATTTGTCATAGCCGACAAACGATAACCAACCAAGTCGTAGTCGTTGTCGACGACGATCCAATCAAATGCGGCACACATAAAACTTTATTTAGTGGCTGGCAAACCGATCAGTCGCCAGTTAACATTTCTCCATTGATGTTGGTACTGCCTGGCTGTTACGAAGAAATTTGAAAATAGAAAACACACACAAAATATTCTATGAAAAGTTCTCAAAATAAAATTCATTTCGATTTGTGTGATTGACTCAAGTGAAGGTGTTCATCCGTGTAACACACATCTGATTAAGAAATTAACGAGAAAAAGTTCTAAATAAACAAATTCCAAATCATGTTCAACTGTCGAAAAATACGGGTGAGCTCATTAAAAAATATGAAGAGTAAAAAAACACTACAAATCAAGTGGATAAAAATATATGAATGAAGAACGTTAATGTGAAATTTGATATTTTTGCGCTAAAAAACTATAATTAATGATGATCAGATGAGTTTTGAGTGTAGTTTTGTGCTCCTTGTGGCGAATTGAAATTTATACGCTATGATATGCTTGAAATTCCCAACACCCATGGTATTTTGTGGGATTATCTTAATATTTACAGTGCTAAGCGAATGATCGTAACCTGATTTCAAGACATGTTATTTCGATAGTTACAACGTTATTATGGAAGAAGATCATCATCAGAGAAAACCATAGTTGAATTCTAAAAGTTCAACTAAAATATCCTTTTGTGTTGGACGTAAATTGAATCAAATCTAGATCTCAAGAATGGGTTCCGTTTTAGTTTTTTATCCTTTTTTTCCATTTTTATCCTTTATCGGTTAGGTACTAGAAGCAGGGAATATATGAGATATATCTGTTAATACGCCAGAAACATTTAGATATGCTGGGTTTGAAGAAACCCAGACACTAGGTACACATTTGATGAGAGCTGTTATTCAAAATGTTGATCTTTTGTAGGCAAGTTACGAAAGTGATTGGCCTTATTGGCATCTAACAAAATTTAGATTACATCAAATATTCCCTTCACTATCTTATACTCGCAATAGATCAACATTTTGAAATGTCTTAGGATCAATGAGAAATAAGTGCCTGATTATCCCTTATTTTACCCACAGACATATGGCTAGTCAGGGTATATATCATTTGATACTGCCAAAACGGTTTTAGACCCCAGTTCTCTTTGGACCAAACCCGTTACAGAACATTTGAAGTCGATCTAGCGATGTCCGTCCGTCTGTCTGTCTGGCTGGTGCACACGATAACTCTTGAAAGAGTATCCGATATGGTCCAAACTTGGAACATCGTAATATTATTATCAAACGTAGATCGAGTTCGAAGATGGACAATATCGGCCCTCTCTTTCTTACTCCAAAAATGTTCGAATTTAAAAAAAATAACATTACCATCGTTCTCCACTAATAAACAAACGTTGTTTTCATAAAAACAATAATAATGGGATTAAGCCTGACCATTTTGCAACAACAAAATGCTATGGTATCCTGAACAAATATGCCAACACTGTTCTAAAAAAAATTACTGCCCTGAAAGAGAAAGGATAATCCGATTTTGCTCCAACTTTGCAAATCCTACTATTTGTACTAGTGCTAGGTCATTTGCGAAAATGGACAATATCGGTCCACTCCATCTAGTACCTCCCCCACAAAGAGTCAACATTTTTAATAATTATAACTATATCTTAGACCCAACACAGTAGGTATATTCTTAATCACGCTAGAGTCAAAACAAATAAAGATAGGAAGTTAAATAAGCACAGATCAGTATTTTATCTGTAAGCAGGTCAAGTTCGAAGATGGGCTATATCGGTCCACGATATCGTATAGCTCCCATATAACGGTACCACCCGATATTCGGTATTTGGACGATTTTAGCCACATTTTCCAATGAATGTGTCTGAAATTCCACACAAGGAGTTCCCTGTGTGTACTTTATCCCCTGGAAGAGAATTATCTATATAGGTCTACGATATCGTATAGCCCCCATATAACGGTACCCCGATATTCGGTGTTTAGATGATATTAGCCAGATTTTTTAACGGAATTGTCTGAAGATTCACGAAAGACGTTTCTTGTGAGTACTTTATCCCCTGAAAGATAATTATCTATATTGGTTCACGATATCGTATAGCCCCCATACAACGGTACCCCGCGATATTCGGTATTTTCATTAAATTTCTCTAAAAATTGGTATTTGTAAGTCATAATGGGTCCCAGTTCGTGTGGTGAAACATTGTATGTACAGGTCCACGTGTTGGTCAGCCACATTTTTCAATGGAATTGTCTGAAATTCTACACAAGGAGTTCTTTGTGAGTACTTTACCTCCTGAAATAGAATTGTCTATATAGGTCCACAATATCGTATATCCTTCATATATCGGCACCTTGCGATATTCGGTATTTTTAAGATTTTAACAGAAGTTTTAATGGATTTTATTTCTTTGAAAATTTCTTAATTCGTCCCATATGGTGGAGGGTTGGATTTAAAGTTCGGCCCGGCCGAACTTACCGCTTTTTTGCTTGTTTCTGTCATAACTTGCGAAACAAATCAGCGATTCTTTACAACTTGCTATATTAATTATTTCCCTCGAGTAGAAATTGGATATAAATGTTCGATTTTTTTTGTAATTTTACCCACACCAATGGAATACTCCGATCGACTATCGACTTCACGCACATTTTAACATTTTCCAAAAATTATCACATATTTCATGAAGGAAGTAACCAGAATAGTCCACACTTGACACCTCTTAATATCTATGTCATATTTATTTAGTTCCGATACAAAATGGATAATATTGGCCCGTTCCTTCGAAATTTACTCCATAGAAGGTCAAACAATTTGAAAAATCATAACAGAAGTCAAAATATATTTAAATAATCGGGCATTGGCTAAGGGTATACATCTGTCGGCAAAACCGACTGATACTTTTTAAATAGTTTAATTCTCATTGAGCCAATATAGATAATATTTTTTAGAAGCCGGCGTTATCTTCAGCCTTGCACATTTTTATACACCTTTCAGCACAAACAATCTTATATTATATCTAGGCAAACTGTGAGTCCAAAGCGCCAATTTACGGCAACTTCAAAATATCGAACATTATGGGAGGTATAGTAACCTTAACCTTTATTTTGTTTGTAAGGAGAGCGCATGATTACACTTAAATTACGAATATATGTTTTTCGTTGTAAGACTTTATGTTTAAAAACCAAAATGACGCATTGCAACCAATTCGGTTAGAAATTATGGCTGTAATCTTCAAAATATCGAAAATAAAATTGTATAAAACACACAAAATGTTATAGTAGATTTAGTGAGAAATTTATGCTAAGAATTGCTGAATACTGAAATTCTAGGGATCGATATGGATTTTCAATACCATCATCCTAAACATTATATCTACTTTTGTGTTACATTCAGTATTCATACTATCTGTTATTGCTTGCGATTTAGCTCTCTCTCTCTCTCTCTCTCTCTCTCTCTCTCTCTCTCTCTCTCTCTCTCTCTCTGATTGTTTCTATAACATTATAACATCCCAAAGTCATGTTATTTGCCATAAGTCAAAAGTTACAGTAAAATACAATTATGGTTCGATATGGTATGTAAAAGGCTAGAATGTGCAGATTAAATGGATAGAAGGGATCCTGAATTTAATATGCATCGAGATAAGCGTATGACAATGTTTGTGTTCAGGAATATATGTTATCCTACGCCACCTTATCACCAATTTCATGCACATATACATAAAAACCTTTTAAATATTAGTACTGTAATGTCATGAATATAAAAATATTTGAAAACTATTTTATGGTTGAGAAAAATGTTGTTTCATTGGTGATAAGTCGAAATATTGACATAAGTCACCACCAATACTAGAACTAAGTTCGTTTGAGGGTATTTCAAATCGGGTAGATCTACCAGTTTGTTTTACATCGTTTCACCCCCGAAAAAGCTTAAATTGTGTTTGATCACTAATTTCACTTTCAGAGAACTTATTCTCCCAATAAGGTATATTTGAACCAGTAAAGAAAGTCTTAAAGTCGGACTTTATGATACCCTACACCACTTTGCTAATTTAGTAGAGCTCCACATAACAATTAAAAGTTTTTATGGGAGAATTCAATCATACACGCTATGATTATAATTATAATTTAAAGTTCAAAGGACTAAATATGGCGAAGCATTTGTATCTTTTAAATTCGGACTTGTATTGACCATTTGGTGCACAATTAATTTGAAATCGGATAAATATATATATGGGAGCTATATCCAAATCTGAACCGATCTCGATAAAATTTGGCAAAGATATTTCTGAGCTGTATTTGACATATTTCCCTGCATATCGTTGTTACGGAGTGCATATTACGGCTGTGGGTAACAAATATAACAAATCGGATGAATAATATATATGGAAGCTATAGCTATATCTGAACCGATCTTCACCAAATTTGACATACTAGCTTCTAGTCTCAATTCGGTCGTATGTGCCAAATTCCATCCCATTTGGACAAATATTAGACGTTTGGTGCACAATAAAATGTAAATCGGACGAAGTTATATATGGGAGCTATATCCAAATCTGAACCGATCTCGATAAAATTTTGCAAATGTATTTCTGAGATGTATTTGATATATTTCCCCAAATATTGTTGTTGCAGAGTGCATGTTACGGCGGCGGTGGACAAAAATAAGAAATCGGATGAACAATATATATGGGAGCTATAGCTATATCTGAACCGATTTCGATCAAATTTGGTATACATATTTTCAGGCCTAATTTGGTTGTATGTGCAAAATTCCATACAATTCGGGCTGATATTACACGTTTGGTGCACAATAAAAGGCAAATCGGACGAAGATATATATGGGAGCTATATCTAAATTTTGACCGATTATCTCCAATTTCAATAGGGTTCGTCCTTGGGCCAAACAAATGATCTGTGCAAAATTTCATCTGGATCGGGCAATAAATGCAACCTGTACTTTGTTTACAAAAATACATGGACAGACGGACAGACGGACGGACGGACATGCATAAATCGACTCAGAATGTGATTCTATGCAGATCATCAAAAGGAACTATGGGTCTATCTCCTTTCCTTTTGCCTGTTACAAACAAATGCACAAAGACATAATACCCTGACCACCTTGTCCAGAGATGGGATATTATAGTTCCCAAAAATATCATACATGAATTATGTATTTGTTCTTTTCGGAACCCTTTTCAAACTAATATTCTTTAAGTTAAATAGCAAATTAGAACCATTGGATGAATTTCCCTATACCCACTGTACCGTCTCTTGCACCAGACTGTATTTAATTACCTCATGATTAATTACTCTAGTCTCTATCCCAAAATAAAAAAATAAAAATAAAAAACCTTAACAACCATAAAATAACCAACTGTCTGTTTTTTCTAATCTCCATTTCGTTACAGCCACTGTTGATGTTGGTGTTACTCGCCGTCGCCATTCAAAGCCCCAAGTCATTGGCATTGCCGGTAGCAGAAGCAGAGGCAGAAGCCGAGGCAGAAGTTGTGGCATCGAAAAACGTCAATGATCCCGCCAAATTGTTGGTCATAACCGAAGATGTGATACCCGACAAAGTGGAAATGGACCAAAAGAAGGTGATACGTGTCAATCCGCTCGATTTACCACCCATCAAAGAGGATCCCAATAAATTGAGCGAAGATTCGTCGTTGTACAAAATCCAATCGATTAAACCCTACAAGGGTAAACGTAAATATGCCAATTCACAAAATATGCGACGTCTCAAGGGATCGAATGACGCAAAGGCCAGTGGCCCAGTGGAAGACTCACCCATTGTACGAGGATTGCCGGCTAGCCCACAAAAGTTTGTAAAACCTAAACATCAGCCAAAAAAGAAACACTTACATTTTCTTTACAATCAGGACGATTTGTTAGGTGACATAGTGTCGAAGACAATGCGTGTCCATACCGCTCCCGGAGCCTATCCAGTCTTTTATGCCGTGGCCAAGACCAACGGACAGTTCGGTAAATATCCCCTGAAGAATTTCAGTACTCCGCGGGAGTTTAGAAAATATTTACAAAAAAATAAAGTGGAAAATGTACAATTAGTGGAAACTGTATACGATAAGGAATTAATTTGAATTAAGCTCTCTGTCTTTCTTTCCTACGCTCCTAAAGGAGAGAGCTTCTTTTTAATTTTAAGCTGTAAATAAGTATTGTATTTAAGTATTTAAATATTTATCTTAGTCTGTAGCATTCTTCAAAGTTTTTTTTTTTTTTTTTTTGTACATCTTTTTGTGAATCTCTTGTTTTTTTGTAAAATGTACAAACATATTTTTTCTACGAATCAAACAATAAAACATAATGAGAAAAAATTAATTTTTGATTTGTTGTTCTTGCTTTGTGTTGACTTTCAAAAGCCTCTATGATGGCTGGCAGGGTGTTGTGATTTGCAAAAATAACTTTTTTTTTTGCATTTCTTCTAATGAAGTTTCTTTTGTTTAAACATTCTCTTTTTTCCCTGAGTTCTTTCACATTTCATTTTTTTTTTTTGCTAAGCTTATTGATTTATGTTTTCGTCCATCATTTTCATAGTTAATCGATTATTAACATTTTAAAGCGAATCGTTTAGTTTCTCTTCCCCCTTCTCTGACACGCTTTCTTTCTTTCTTTCTGGAAAGAACAGTGGCTAGTTCTTTTCATAATTTAAACATTAGATTGTTTCTAAGAAGAGAAAAAAACCCATCTTATATAATTTTTAATGACATTAATTGGACATCTGTTAAATTTGCTAATTTTGAAAACATGTTTTAAGTGGTGACAATCACATTGACTAATTACCGACTAACCAACTACGTCCGAAGCTAATAAATCAGAATGCAATTAACGACGACACAAAATCATCGCTAATGACAGTCGGAATTCCAAAATCCATAATTTGCAATGATGAAATTATGAATAGCTTTTTAGCATTTTTGTTCATCCTCCTTTTGGGGAAAATACTTTGTGATGGGTTTCGTTGGGGTAATTACCCGATGTAAGGTTAAACCGTACCTGGAGTAAATACTCCTTTAATGTGAATTTATATATTTAAGATTTTCCCATCTATCAATTGAAATAAGTAGCTGTATAACAGATATACTTGGGGGAATTATTGATTTTCCAAAGGTTTTTTACAATTCAAACCCACCCGAGCAATAACATGAATGCTGTATGAGCCGAATAACGCTTTAAATGGTAATGTAAATGTACTATATTTTGCAATGCTAGAAGGTTGATGATAATGGGATATTTAAAGGCTTACATCTTCATTACAAAGTTATGAGTAACGACGGCACAGTTTTTAAGTGAGTTCGCCACCCGGCGAAGAATCTAAACGAAGAAAAATGTAATTGACAGGATGAACTCTTGATGCTGGTGTTAGAATTTATCCAATGTTTATTGTTCGTAACCGTCGAGTGGTGTTCAATACCATCACTGAATAAAACCAATTTAGAAGAATTAAATCAAATAATTTCAAAATGTTTTTTTGTTTTACTTACAGCTACCTGCGTTTTTGCGACGGGCACTAATGGTGCTAGACTTTTTAATCGCTCTGATTTTTTCTGGCACAACGAACAAAAAAAAAAAAAAAAAAAAAAAACCAGTAAGGAAAGCTCAAAAGTCGGGCGGGGCCGACTATATGATACCCTACACCACTATGCATATTTAGTAGAGCTCTCGTAAAAAGGTTTATACAGGGCATTTCAGAGCTCTATGAGATATTTGGTACAAAATCAAAATCTATCTAATTCCATCGTGCATTTTACGATCTATAGCTATCTCTGAACCGGGTTTCTCCAAATTTGACGTATTAGCTTCTAGACTGAATTCGGTCTTATGTACGAAAATTCAGGTGATTTGGGCTGATATTGGCCATTTGATGCACAATTAACACGAAATCGGATGAAGATATATATGGGAGGTATATCCAAATCGGAACAGATTTTAATAAAATTGCAATCAACTATTTTTGGGCTTTATCTGGTATCTGGTACCAAATATCATTCCTGTGGAGTGCATATTACGAATGTGAGGGACTTAAAGACCAAATCGGATGAAAGATATATATGGGAGCTATAGCTATATGTGAAACTATTTTTACTAAAATTGGTGTACTTGCTTCTAAGCTGGTTTCGGTCGGATTTACCAAAATTGATGCTATTACGGCCATTTGGTGGTCAATCACCCGAAATCGGATGAAGATATATATGGGAGCTATATCCAAATCTGAACCGATTTCGATAAAATTTAAAACAGCTATTCCTGTGCTCCATCTAATACCTGGTACCAAATATCACGGTTGTGGAGTGAATATTACGAATGTAAGGGACTAAAACACTAAATCGGATGAAACATATATATGGTTGCTATATCTATATCTGAACCGATTTTCACTAAATTTGATATACTTGCTTCTAGGCTGAATTTGGTCCGATGTACTAAAACTCAGTCCATTTGGATTTATATCGGCCATTTGGTGCACAATTAACCCGAAATCGGATGAAGATATATATGTGAGCTATATCCAAATCTGAACCAATTTCGATAAAATTACAAACAGCTATTTCTGGGCTGTATCTTATATCTGATACCAAATATCATTCTTGTGGAGTGCATATTACGAATGTGAGAGGCTTAAACACCAAATCGGATAAAACATATATATGGGAGCTATAGCTGTTTCTGAACCGATTTTCTCCAAATTCGTTGTATTTGCTTTAAGGCTAATCTCGGTCACATGTGCCAAAATTCGGGCCATTTGGGCTGATATTGGCCATTTGGTGGTCAATTAACCCGAAATCGGATGAAGATATATATGGGAGCTATATCCAAATCTGAACCGATTTCGATAAAAATTAAAACAGCTAGTTATGTGCTCCATCTAATACCTGGTACCAAATATCACGGTTGTGGAGTGCATAGTAGGAATGTGAGGGACTTAAAGATCAAATCGGATGAAAGATATATATGGGAGCTATAGCTATATCTGAACCGATTTTCTCCAAATTTGATATACTTGCTTTTAGGCCGAACTCGGTTGGGTGTGCCAAAATTCAGGTAATTTGGACTGATAGTGGACATTTGGTCCACATTTAACCCGAAATCGGATGAAGATATATATGGGAGCTATATCTAAATTTGATCCGATTCTGACCAATTTCAATAAGGTTCGTCCTTGGGCCAAAAAAATATTGTTTGGAAAATTTCATCTCAATCGGATAATAAACGCGACCTGCATTTTGTTCACAAGAATACATGGACAGACGGATGGACGGACGGACAGACGGACTGACATGCATAAATCGACTCAGAAAGTGATTCTATGAAGGATCTCAAAAGTAACTATGGGTCTATCTCGATTCCTTCTCCATGTTACAAACAAATGCACAAAGACATAATACCCTTACCACTATGTGGTGTAGGGTACAAAAAGTTAAATAATTAATGTCCTCCACCATTTGGAACGAATCCTTAAAACATTCGGTTTAGATTTTAAAAATACCGATTATAGCCCTTATATTTGGGTCTATACGATGTGGACCTACATAGGCATTGTTTGTCAAAAACCATTACCATATTCAAATTCGAAACTTGAAATAAACGGTGAATAATGTAGCTAAAATCTTCAAAATATCGTATATAGGGAGGTACCGTTATATCGGAGCTGTGTGAAGAACTGGACCATCATAGACAATTTTATGTTGCAGACTATAGCACCCATTACGAATTTCAAATACGACATCTCAAACAATTTCGGTGGGTATTGTACCTAAACTCGTCAAAATACCGAGGAGTTACGGTTATATGGGGCCTATACGAAGACCTGGACTTGCTTAAACAATTTTCTGTCATAAGCTGTAGTATCCATTACTACAAATACCAAATTTGAAAAGATTCCGGTTAATAATGTCGTTAAAATCATCAAAATACCGAACATCGGGAAGTACCGTTATATGGGGGCTATATGAAAACGTGGACCTACATGGCCCATTTATGAACTTAGCCTGCGTACTGGGGGGGGGGGGGGGGGGGGTACCGTTATATGTGGGATATACGATATTGTGGATCTATATAGATAATTCCCTTTCAGAGGGTAAAGTTCTCACAAAGAACTCCTTGTGTAGAATTTCAGACAATTCCGTTGAAAAATGCGGCTAAAATCATCAAAATACCGAATATCGGGGGGTAACGTAATATAGGGCCTATACGATATCCTGGACCTATATAGACAATTATCTTCCAGGCGGTAAAGTGCTCACAAAGAACTTCTTGTGTAGAATTTCACAGAATTCCATTGAAAAATGTGGCTTAAGTCATCAAAATACCGAATATCGGGGGTACCGTTATATGGGGCTATACAATATCGTGAACCGATATAGCCCATCTTCGAACTTGACCTGCCTGCAGACAAAAGAGAGATCTGTGCAAAATTTTAGCTTTCTATCTTAATTCGTTTTGACTGTAGCGTGATTACAACAGACGGATGGACCCGCTAATTCATCTTAGAATTTGACGCTGATCAAGAATATATATACTTTGTTAGGTCTAAACTGATTATTTTGATGAGTTACAAACGGAATGCCGAACTTAATATACCCTCCATACTATGTATGGTATAAAAATCAACAATAATTCATTTCTTCGGCCCACCTTCCAAAAAAAGGGTGAAATAAAACTGCAACAAAGTCAAAGGCAATTATTTTTACATTTGTCTTTAAATTTTATTGAATGATAGCAAACAATTTTGGAAATAGTATCAAATTTTAAAATAAGTTTAGATTTGTTCGAATTGGTCACCTTTGGCACGAATAATGGCCTTCAACCGTCACACGCTGCCCGAATGTTGCTCTGCGGCATTTTGACCCATTCCCGGCGAAGCCCTTGCTTGAGGTGATCGAGATTTTGGTATTTTTTAGAGCCAACGGATTGGTATGCGGAGATTTTGATGGTCATTGTACGCTGGAAATGAAGCGAGGAACCTTATTTTGTAACCGTTCTTGGGTGGCGCGTGCTGAGTGCGATGGTGCTGAGTCCTGTTGGAACTGTCGGACGAGTCGCTTAGAAATGACAGCAGTTGGTTGCAGTTTTCTCATCTCACCCTGTATATATGGGAGCTACATCTAACTTTGAACCAATTTTCTTTGAGCATTTGTTTGTAACATGGAGAAGGCCTATAGTTACTTTTGAGGATCTTCATAGAATTACTTTCTGAGTCGATTTATACATGTTAGTCCGTCCG